TGTAGTCAAATTATATGTCCTCTCTATTCCAGGTGAGTGACCATTTCTGTGACAAGCAGAATAGTGTAGTGGTCAAAACTCCAGGCTCTCAAGTCAGACAGACCTGGGGTTGAATCTTGTTTTGGTTGCTTTTTAAGTTGTATGACCTTGGGATATGTAACCTCTGCTTCCTTATCTGCAAAATAAGGATAACAACAAAACCAACCTCATAGGATTGTGGTAATAACTACATGTGACAATAAACATGAAGCACTTATCTCAGTGCCCGGCACATCGTGTCAGCAATGGAGATCACTATTATTGAGCTCTCCCTCAAGGGTGGACTGAGAGTTCCTAATTACCTGATGTGAGTAAAGCCTTTGTATTAGTTATCTATCGCTACGTAATAAATTTCCTCAAGCCTCATTCATTGTCTCACACTGTTTCTAAGGATCAGAAATTTGGAAGCAGCTTAGCTGGGTAGTTCTGGCTCAGGGTCTCCCAGGGGGTTGCAGTCAAGCTGTCAGGTGGAGCTGCCATCATCTGAAGGCTTGATCAGGTCTGGCGGATCAGCTCCCAATCTCACTCAGATGGCTGTTGGCCTTTCCATGTGTGCCTTTCTGTAGGACTGCTCACAAGATGGCAGCTGACTTTTCCCAGAGCGAGTGATCCAAGAAAGAAAGCAAGTGTGACCAAGACGGAAGCCATAGTGTCTTTTATAACCTAACAGCGAAAGTGACATATCATGATTTCTGCCATATTCTATTGGTTACATGGACCAACGCTGGGACTGTGTGGAGAGGACTGCACAAGGGTGTGAATCCAGGAGGCAGAGATCACTGGCGGCTGTCTCGGAGGCTGGCTACCACTGCCTTTAAGTAGTTTTCCTGAGTAGTGCCACAGACACACTTATTTTTTTGCTTTAATTTTAGATTAGAGCCAGGAGGCTTTGAAATGATTATAGTGGTTTATAATCTACCAGCAAATGAAAGGCATCTGAGCATCAATATAAATGTCTGAGTGGGGTCTGCTAGCCACTTGAAAAGCATGTGGCTCCACATGCCTAAGAAATCACAGCTGACTTTAGTAAAATCTCCACTATTAAATATTCCAGCTCTGCACTTGCACAAAGTGCAAAGGACGAAAGTTGTCTCTCTATATTAACAAGTAAGAATGGTTAGCGGATAAGGCACAGTTTGCAAATCTGTATTTATGGTTGGGGTCTGGCTGAAAAACAGCGAGAATAAACCACACAACCTGGGAAGTCTAATTCTAGCAGGAAGTTGCTTTGAAATAACATCATACTTCATTCACTTCCCAACTAATGTCTTTGACGACCAGTTTGGACACATCAATAAAACGTCCTGTCACTTACCATATTTTATTTTCTTGCAGTGTTTCCCGCTGTTTGATGGTAACTCTAACAGCGCCTGTTCTTACAGCAGAATCCACACTCTGACTTAGATTTGCCAAGTAGATTGCTTTTGGCTAAATTTCTTGCCCAAGCACAGGTCCTTATGGTTTGAGAGGGCCCATTAAGAAATCCCTAAAGAAAAATATGCAGCTTTTACTGGCTTGGATTTGTAGCTCCAAAATTTAGAAGAAAGCGGCTGGTTAACATTATAGACATTTTGAAGTACTTGTCTTTCAGAACTGCAAAGAACAATGGCAAGAAAAGCCCTTTGATGGCTCAGAATTTATTTTATTTTATGTACTTATTAATTGGTACACTTTCTCCCGCATTTTATCCAAAGATTCTGTACACTGAAACAATAAAATAAGTAAAGACATGTGTCTGCTTTAAAATCTTGATATTGGTTAAGTCTCCGTAGTCCTTTTTCATGCTTTCTGGGTAAAGGCTCTTGCTGTTCCCTCAGCCCCGCAGCACTTTGATCTCAGAAGTGGTGCCATTTGGTTGTAAATGTATGTGGCGCCTTTGATCTAGTACTTAGCTGGTCTTATTGAGAATAGATAGCTTCTTTTATCTAAGTAGTGTTTACTAGGTCTCTCTCTATGAAAGATGGTTTAAATTGCTATTATTTAGATAGAAAGTTATATAAAGTTTCTTAAGAGTGCCTGGATCTGAATCTAATGCTCTCAATTCTGAAACTGCAAAGTTATATACAGTGTCTTAACAGTGCCCAGATCTGAATCTAATGCTCTCAATTCTGAAACTGCAAAGGAGCTATCATAGATTTCATGAAGCAAATTCCTATTAAAATGAGCTGCTCCTACAGATGTCAGGTAATATCTGCAAAAACTTTGTTTGCTTTTTAATGGAGGACTGATTTTCCAAAGAATAATAAACATATCCTGCACTCAGGCAAAATGGTAATCTCAGAATGTCTGAACTTAATGGCCAATTATTCCTTTGAAATTCATGTATTAATATATTTCATATTACTGAGTTATGCATACTATACAGGGTATATTGAAATGGGACTTTTTTAAAATAGTAAGTATATATCGTTAATTCTCTTCTTCAAGAGGATTTCTTGAGCATTTTATTAGGTGCTTTAGTGACTTGTGTTTGAGCTTCCTAGGCTGCATTCAAGTATTCATTCAACAAATTATGTTGCAGGTGCAGAGACACAAAGATGACTAAGTCACAGACTCTGCCCTTAGGTTGCTCACAGCCTGGGGTCAGGGGGCAGAACACTAGTAGACAATTACACAGCAATGTGGTGAGTGCCTCTCATGGACAGTGGTCCTCCCAGCCTGGCCTTGGGAGTGGTCAGGGAAAGCTTCCTGGAAGAGGTGGCACCCAAGCTTCAGTGAAAGACTGCTAAGAACTCAATGTCTTGTAAATTCACAGCCAAGACCATAATGCAAAGCCAATTTATCTGCCCAGACCCCCTGGTTTAATACTGGTGGCCTAAACATTGGGAGAAGTCTAATCCTTGAATGCTTTGCTGGCTGAAGCCACCCAAAGCCTTCTTCCTTGTCATTCAACAGTAAGGAGAAAAATCCGAAACTACTTTTCACACACATTTTAGAACTTCAGCTCCATTCTTCATTTAAAGGAGATACGGGAAATCTCCTCGTGTTGTATGTGAAAATAGCTGCCTTTGATGGTTCTATTTTGGTAGGCTCCAGACACGTGTTTTTCCATCCTCCATGGTGTCATGTTCCCAGCATTTCAAAAGTCTTGTCATTATTTCATCCACATACTAACCAAAGTGGGAGTACTACCAAGAGCTGACCCTGGGAGTCTGGAAGATGCTCAAGAAGTATACAAGGGGCCCTTCTCAGGCCTGGAGGTTGGGAGGGGGCAGGAAGAAGTAATCTGTAGTCAAGTACAGGATCATTACAATAGTAGTCACAACTGTTCTAGGAGGGAGGTCTCAGAGGGAAAAGGAGAGGAGTCTGGGGCCTGACCTCAGGGGACTCAGACTGGGTTTGTGGAGATGGAGAGGAGAAGCCGGCCTCTGGAGGACACAAGAGTGAGTTTGGAGTGTTCCTGGGTTGGTGCAGGGATGGTCAGCGTGGCACAGATGAGGTAGAGGCAGGGATGTGCTGAAAGCAAACTGAAGGGGTTTGGCTTTTCCCAGTGGTGCTACCAAGCCATTGAGGGTGTGAAACTGCAAAATGAAGTGGGATCTTTGGCGCTTTCCCTGTTCTTTCACATTGGTCACCAAGCACTATTGATTCTGAGAGTCATGTATTTTATGTTGGAGGAGACTTGGAGATAAGAAAGCCTAGCCTCCCCATTTGTCCAGTGAGGAAATAAGCCCCAAAGTTCGGGCAGCCCAGGTCTCAGTCACTGAGTGGCAGGGCCCAGGGTGCCCGGCCACCCCGTTGACCAGGACCCTGGCCTGGGCTTCTCTTCATGGGGTTTCTTTCCCACTAGGAGTCCTAGAGTAGAGTCTAGGACGCTAGACAGTTCACAACAGCCTGTAGGAGAGACACCATCACACCTGGGGGTCTTCCAACAGGTGTGGCTCCAGGGACAGCGCAGTTCTCATAGGGCTTCAGCCCTCTATCTGGACCCCCAGGGGCCACACCAGGTCAGAACTTGAATAAGAGGAGTTGTGGCTGATGAGAAAAGACACAGAGAGGACAGAAAAGAATCAGGATACACTGAACAGACCCGTGTGAGCCACAGCAAAGCCAGGCTAGGAGGATGCAGAGCAATATTACATTTGGAAGAAATGAAATTTTTTTATGAGTTACCGATTGTAGGCTGCTGAAGGCCCCTAACTTCAGGAAGGCCACGTGGAGTGTGTCCCACCCAAACTGCGTGCACTGAGAACAAGGTGGGAAGGGTGGTCCTCAAGCAACTCAGAGAACTTTTATTAGAGGAAGGGGGATAAATACTGGAAAAGCAAAAACAATAGATTTTGACAGCAGCCCCCTCGTCCTAACCTGGAGGTAGAGAAGTCTAAGACCAGGATGTTCTCACAGTGTTACCTTGTGCCAGGTATTCTCGGGGCTTTGTCTCTATTAGCTGATCGACCCCATCCTCAGTCCTATGGCGTAGGGACTACCATTATTCTCATTCACAGAGGGGGAAATTGAGGCACAGTAAGACGAACTTGCCCAAGGTCCTTCATTGTAAGCGCCAGAGCTGGGATCTGAACCCAAGCGGCCTGCCTCCAGACCTGTGTTCTTAATTATTGTGTTAAAAGTATCTCCCATTTTCCTTCTTTCCTTACCTTTTTTTCTCTGAAATAAAGATTTGAGGAAGGCTCTGATAATGAGTGTAATCACCTAGCACAGGCTAGTAGCCCTTATTACTTTCATTATTATTTATGAACAGAGTATGCAAAGCCTCTGGTGCACAGTAGATAGTCCACGACTGTGAAATAAGACAGAAAGCATTTGAAGACCAACGAAGACATTTGCATGGGCTCTAGGGCTGAAAGAAAATCTGCATGATCTGCAGGGGATTAGCAGTGGGTATGAAAATAGGTGCAGACAATAAATGTATGAACAGAAATGTCCAGAGACCCATTGAGGCAGGGATGAAATGGTGAGATGCTGAATCCTTTAATGACTCCTTTTCTCCTTTCCTTCTCAAGTGCTGCTTAAGCAGAGCCGAGGCCAGACGGGACGCAGCTAAAGTGGCCCTAATCAACTCCCTTTTCAATGAGCTGCCCTCTCGCAGGATCACCAAGGAATTCATTGTGGAGAGTGTGCAGGAAGCGGTCGCCTCCACCAGCGTGAGTACCCGCCAGGGAAGGGAGGAGCTGGCTGCAATGAGAGTACTGAGGCATTCAAATCTTGGGAGATGCTAAATGAGCAAATTTTTAAAGAATCGCAAGTTTAATTTCTACCTATTAAATCATTAATTTCCAGCAAAAAAACCACTCGGATTGGAAATCACAAAATTGGAGCTGGCTCCCTATTCCACATCTCAGTAATGTTCTTTAGCCTCCCTGGATCACAGTTAATCAAGCTTTACATCAAGGTGGATCAAATTATCCACCTTGATTTGTTTATTTGAATGTTTGCTGTTTGAGGAGCATTGATTCTTTTAGGGCCTGAGAATGCATGAAATTGAATACTGCTTTAATCTAGAGATAAACTAATTCATTTTCTCCTGAACTTGACTAATCATAAAAATTATCTGAAGGGCTTATTAAAAGTGCCAATTCCCCAGCCAGGCTGGGGTCCTGCAATCTGTATTTTTAAGGCAACACTGACTGCTTAGATATGGGAAAAGCCGTATGCCCAATATTTGTTAGCTATTAGAATTATCATGCTTAATGTCAATTACTCCTTTCAGAGAGCTTTGAAAATTTCTGTAATGGACACAATTAAATACAAAGTGCTTTAAAAGCAAAAACCTCTGGCTTAAAAATTTACATAGGCATTTCCTCAGCAATCCAGGAGTAGATGATATGCCCCCTGAATTATTGGGAGCTCCTGATCCTTGTTACTTCCAAACTATAAACCACGGAGGAAGCCTCGGGTCCTCACTGTGGCAGGTGTCTCCTTGTGTGACCTCCAAGGGCGGGAAGGTAGCAGCACCAAAGGGATTAGCCATCTCCCAGCTTCATCATAGCATGGATAAACCCCATCTGAGATTTTCATTCTCTGATTCCCTTAATCTGACTAGAAAGGTTCTGTCACTCTGGAGAAGATGCTGATAACGAAGGAGACATTATCACGCTAGCAGTGGCCTTTTTGCCTCTTTTCCCCTCATAAATGCTCTTATCACCCAGAGGAGAGATAAGGGAAGGCGCAGGGGACAGAGAGTGTTTGACCTGGCGGGGAGACTGTTCTATATCTGCTCTGAGGATGAAAGGAAGCCTTTATTTTCCTCCCCTGTAAATTTCAAGTGCATTTGAGGAAGAGAAGTTAGGAAAATGATGCCTGATTTATATGTGTGGAATTTACTCAGGAGGAGGGAGGGGCCCTCCGTGTAAATGTAATTTATTATTTCTTCATGGAAATTTCTAAGGAAAGAGAATATATATGGTTTGCAGGCTTCTGGATGGATTTCCTCTGGGATATTTACAAAGCCAACATAAATATTTCAGCAGCAGTGTGTTAATGTTATTGCATTCAAAAGCCATAAATTTGCTGCTATCTGATGCTGGCAGTTGTTTGTTCAGTCTCACGAAGCCATTGCCCACCTTCCCAGGAATCCAAGGCCACGGGATATGGGAGGGCAGGCCCTAGTGCCATTCCAGAGCTTGTGTTAGCTTTTTTACTGCCATTCCCCCTAACCAACTGGGAGGGGTATTTCATTTCTACCCATCACCCACCCACCTTGTTTCCTAAAGATTAAGTGGTCCAGAAGCGAAAAAATATAAACTAAGATCCATGTCTCCAGGCCGAACACCAGCATATGATGAAAAGTTCCCATTAAGAGTCATGGCAGTAAAATATGAATGCTCCATACAACTGGGGAATTCTTTCCCTGTCAGTTACATAATCTTGCCTGGTTATCGTTGGAATCGGATGGAGCAAGGTCAGCGTTTCAAGATTGCAACGACAGATGAAGGCAGCCTTAGAGGGCAACCACTCAAACACTAATGCCACCACCAACAAAAACCCTGTGCAAGGATACAGGAATTTCTGCTTTGAGATAGTTATTCTTTTAGTGAGCATAGAATCAGTTAACATTCTAATCAAAAGCTAGATTCAAATTGATTGCAAAATCCTCTTTACTCTGAGGTGAGATTAAGGATTTTACCCCATATCAACTGGAGACTCCGTTGTAGAATGCACACCTGAAGGGTTAGCACAGCTATAGAAGGCTGACTGTGGGGCCACAGGATCAATTCAGGAACCACCCAAAGAAGAGGAGGAAAAATCTGTCATATTTTCCTTTTCTGCTTCCTTCCCAAGGGCACTTTGGATGACGCGGACGACCCCAGCACCAGCATCGGAGCCTATCACTACATGTTGGAGTCGAACATGGGGAAGACCATGCTGGAATTTCAGGTACCCGACTTCCTGCCACATGTTTATTTTGCTACACAATCCAGAGGCCTGGGGGAATGCCACTCTTATCACTAACATCTCCTGTCCCAATAATCCACTCTTTTTTTGTTTTGGTCATTTTAATTTAACCCTCTTAGAATCCAGCATGGTAAGCTCTGTCTTAGCCCCATCTCAGAAGGTGAGAGCAAACAAGCAAATAAGACACAATCTGTGCTTTCTTAAAGGGAAGTAAAAGACTTAGTCTAAGAAACAAGTGGGAAAGACCACCGTCTTATGATCCTGTAACATTACACCCGCTTTTCAGTACAAAATCCCCCTTTAAACCAAATCAAACAGTTTGAGGTATTGGTTGTGACCATTTGGTTCTTAATTTTCGGAAGTCATAGATGAAGGTGCCTGCAATGTGCGTTAAACAACGCCCCCCTCAGTTCTGGTATTTCTGTTAAACACGATCTGCCACCTCCTATGGTTAACTAAATCCAAAAATTTAGCAAGCTGTAACCCCTTTTTCATCTGCTGCTGACAAGCGATAGTACAGCTGAAGAACTATATTACCTATTATTTGCAAATTAAATAATTACGTTAATAACAATAAGAATAATAATAGCTGACACTTACTGGATGCTTACTTTGTCTGGCACTGTGCTAAGCATTTAACAAATATTATCATAACTTAACCCTCACAGTGAACATATGAGTATTCATTATCCCCATGTCCTTACTGGAGGAAGTATGCCATATCACTCAGCACACGGCACAGCCAAGGTTCAGATTAGGCAGTCTAATCTCTGAGCTCACACTCCCGACTATTATCCTATATTGGGTCAGGCAGATGAAAATTCAGTAGTGATTGGGCATGAAACGTGTGCCTTCTAAAAAACTAAATGGAAATGTACCTGAACATCCATATATGTGGAATGCTAGTAAGAATCAATTGTTAGAATGAGGAGCCTTTACCCCCAGTATTTCAATTTTTTAGGTTAGATTCCAAGAAGTAAGTGGAGATTACAGTTAGATTCCAAGAAGCAATCAGACATATAAAGTTTTATGGACAAAAATGTTCATCGTGGTATAAGTTACAATGGTGTTACAGCTGAGGCCTGAAGCCACCAACTTTCAAATACCTTTCTTGGTACCTTTCAGACTCTTTTCCTGACTGCAATAGCATAGCCCCTTCTCAGGTGGATACGTCCCTCCTGCCCATTTTTAAAAATCAACATTTTTCCTCATCAGTCCTTGGTTTGATTGAGACAAAAATACTCTTTCTTCCCCCTATCCTGGGAAGATCTCGGTCATCTGGTTTTCTCCTTAAGTGGCCGTGGTCTCTCTGAGCTTTGATGTTGTGTGTCTTGGTTTGGAAGGGACCGGGCATCCTTAAAGCCTCCCGTCTGGAGTGGACAGGGGCAGGCCTCAGCCCGGGGTTCTGAGCCCAGGCTGCAGTGGGCTGGTCCGTTTCATCCTGGCTCTGCTCCTCACCTCTAAATCCGATTCCTCATTTGTATGCAAATCAGGGAGAATCACTGTAGTGGCGCCCCTTGCAGTGCCATTGTGAGGATTAAACGGGGCAATGTAGAAAGAGTCCAGAACAGTTCCTGGCATGTGGTAAATGCTCAGTGAATGTTAACAACTGTTATTATCTATATTTCTGAAGAAGGGCTTTACTTGAAATGCCAGAGGCTACCGGATGGGTTCCCTTGACAACTTGATCTAACCTAAGGTTTCAGATGAGGACATGGTAGCTCCCTACACTAAACGCTTCGGGGCTATTGCTGTAGCATAAAGGAGTGGAAATGTAAAGGTCCTTTTATTTATTTTTCCATAACAATCTAAAGTCAAACAGACAAAACAAATTAAAGAGAGGAGCATAACACAAGAGAAAGAACACAAACTTTAAAAAATCATACAGACCCATGCGTGAAACCTGCTCTACCAAATGCCACCTGGGAACGGAACCATTCTGAGACTCAGTTCTCCCATCTATAAGATAAGAATCATAATGCCCATTGTATAGGACTTTTGTGGGACTTACATAATATGACATTTATAAAGCCTCTAGCACAGCAATTTCTCCAAGCAAGAACCTCATGTATTTTAATTCCTCCCCTCTCAACCCCAACAAAAGAATATTGTGCTTCTTTTATTATACAATGAACATTGCCAGCCCCCATACATAGTAGCTTATATGTGATTTAGTAGCCTTTTTCAGAAAATTACAAATGATTTTTGAGTGCAATTGTGTTAGTCTGTCAAAGATGAGGAGGACAAGATTTTTTTTAAAAAATTCTTAAAATTCCATTCAAGTACTGTGAAAGGCTGTATTCAACCACCTTTTAGTGGTACATTAATTGCCTTGCTATGGGCTGTATGTTTTCTGTGTGGTGTATGTAGTAAGGTATTTATATATGTGAAATAATAGTTGAATCATACTGTGGAAGTGCTTCATAAATTCTCATAATGGAGGCTGAGTGCAGGATGGTGGACAAAGGAAGAGGAAGATGTGAGGGCAGGAAAAATCCAAACTCCTTCCTCGCGGTAGGGATGCTGGCGACCCAGGAGGAGGGCTGTGGAGCACATCCCTTTTCCTTCCCCCAGCTCTGGGCTGCCTGCTGGGTCTGGGCACATTCCTTGGTGGCCTGGGTTAAATGCATCAGCTTGTTTTTGCACATGATGGGAATTGACCACAGACCTGGGTTGTTTGCAGCCGACACAGCAATTGAGTACCCCTGGTGGGTAGTAGATGTGTGTTTGTATCTGGTTATGGATGACTATACCATATAAAAACAAGGCTGGTGTCTCCTGACTGCCCGCAGCCTTTCCAGGGGAGCCGTCAAGGAGGCAGCGCTCAGAGGAAATGTGATAGGCCTCTGCTTACCTTCACTTCGTGGGAGGGAAGCTGGGGTGCCATACAGAAAACTGCCTGCTGTTTGGGGGGAGGGATGGCGACAGCACTAGCCACTGGGTCTTGTCAAGGTCAGATTCGAGGCAGACTTTGACTGAAGCTGGTTAATATATTTATTCTGAAGCCTAATGCAATCCAAGAAAGAGTTGTTTATTTACATCTTTGCTAAATTCTCCAGGTCGACTTTTAAAACCTCGTCCCATAAACAAATTTCCTCTTAAATCCATTCTCTTGGGTGGGGAGATGGTGCCCACCTGTTTTTCAAGTTCTCCGTTTACAGTGTTTGTTTTTCTTATTTCTGATGAATCACAGAACCAACCAAGCCAGTCTCCCAGACATAGTTCCAGAGGGAAGCTGTGTGCATTTTCTCCCCACAAAGTAGCTAAAAGGACAAACATTGTTTCTAATAGGAGGCAACACCAGGAAGCACCGTGAGGACAGAGCCCAGTTGTTGGGTTGTTTTTTGTTTTTTTTTTTTTGTGAGGAAGATCAGACCTGAGATAACATCCATGCTAATCCTCGTCTTTTTTTGCTGAGGAAGACTGGCCCTGAGCTAACGTCTGTGCCCATCTTCCTCCACTTTTATGTGGGACACCGCCACAGCATGGCCTGACAAGCGGTGCGTCAGTGCACCCCCCGGGATCCGAACCCGGGCCACCAGCAGCAGAGCGCACACACTTAACCACTACTCCACGAAGCCGGCTCCCAGTTATTGGTTTAAATTGAATGAATGGCAAAATGAACCAGGAGAGCTGTAGAATGAAAGCTACAGCGGCAATTTTTCCTGAAGAGAAAGAAAGCACAGGGCTCGATTCGCCATTCGATTTTAAATTTACTTTGCTGACTGGGACTGGCTACACAATTTGGTGCAAAACGAAAATGCAAGGCTTGGCCTGCCCGGTGGTGCAAGCGGTTGACAAGCAGTCCCCTTCCGTGGCCCAGTATTCGTGGGTTAGGAGCCTGGGCGCGCACCGATGCACCGCTTGTCAAGCCATGCTGTGGCAGTGTCCCATATAAAGTAGAGGAAGATGGGCACTGATGTTAGCTCAGGGCTGATCTTCCTCAGCAAAAAAAAAAAAAAAAGGAAAATATGCAAGGCTTTTTGTTCAAAAATTACTAAGGGTTTCAAGACAGCAGAGCATTAACCAAGCACAGGGCCCTGTGTGACTGCACAGATCACAAGCTCATGAAGCCACCTTGTCCCTGAGACAGACCCACGAGAAGGCCCGAGACTAGGGTGAGCAGAGTTAGGCCTTCACCTCAGGCACAACATTTAAAGGAGCTCCAAAAAACTCCATAATCAAGACAAACAATATTATAATGCAATATTTTTAAAACTCTAAATTAATGTGCAAAAAGTCATGACGATCAAAATTGAAATTTTAAATAAAGACAGAACTTGAAATAAAAGATGCTGAACTTGCATGACTCACCTTAAATCTTGCCTCACTCACCTCACCCTAGTCCCAGCCCAACCTGTAAGGCCAGCTTCTTGTTTTTCTGTCAGCCCAGCCAGACTCCCCAGGCTTTTAGATCAGCCCACAGAACAACCCAGCACAAGGACTTTAGTGAGAGCAGGACAGAGAGCTCACTTTAAGGAATTAAAGCGACAGGGCTTCGACAGGGAGAAAACGGGACTGGAAAGACCAGACAGCGAGGAATCATGGTGAAACTAGGAAGCAAATCCTCACAGAAGTCTGGTCTGCAGTAACGCAAGGATTTCCCATGGAATCTGCGAGAGCCTGACAGGATTTCCTGGGGCTGGGCCAGTTGTTCATTCAGCTTCAGGAAGATCTGAAGATATGGAATTTAGTCTTATGAATGGAAACAAACAAGTGGGATGGGAAGAATGTGGAAATATCTCAATATACTTTACATAATGATGGCAAGATTAATATCTCTCCCAAAGAGAGCAAGAACTAGACCAGGACATAATGGAAGAAGGCGGAAAGCAGGTCATCTTCCCTGGGAGATTTTAGGAACAAAAGCAACACTGAGGAAGCAGCAGTTGTGTTACTTCAGAGAAAAAAACTGCTTGGTGATGGAATAGAAATTTAGACAAACCAGAGCGGGCAGGAGGATGATCCTCTCCTGTGGGCCAAAACAGTTCAAGTCTCTCTGGGGATGTTTTTGAGAGATGTGGGTTGCCAGGAGACATGAGAAAGGTTTCTGGTTCTGTTCACAGCAGAAATGTGAGTTCTAAAGTCTTAGAGGGGTTGCAGGGTGGAATGACAGGAGTTGCTCTGGAAGGGGGTTAGAGTATAGGTAAAAATGAGAGCCTAGAAGACCTTGGAGGAAGAAGAGTATTTTGCTAAGGGAACAACTGTCAGCGGATGGAATTGAGAGCCCCATTAACAATAGGCTGTTTCTCAAACTGGACCACAATGACACAAGGACAATGGCAAGAGGACTACTGGAAACCGCAGAACAAACTCAGTGTATCTTCCTGGTTGTCAACTTTGCATGAAGATTGGGGGCAGAAGGGGCCAGGTAGAGGAGTGGAGGTGGTATTTATTTTCTTTTTTTAAAAAATGGGCGTATACAATAGAATACAAAATTCAAGTGGGGTCTTAAGATAAAATATGAAACGAAAAGAAATGTCTTATTTGTAAGTATTGGCCCTCCTGAAACACCAAAGAGACTGTTTCATATCAGGCTGTAAAGAGTGTTCCTACTTATTTTTATGGCTGCAAAGTGTTCATGGGGTAGGTTTGAGGGTATGATGAGAAACGCAGCACAAATTTACCCTCCTAGGCCGCTGGGGCTCAGCGGTGACAGCCGATTAGGCAAGATTTGGTTATAGAACAGACCACTTCCACTTTTCCAAATTAGCATAGTGATGTGAGAGTGCAAATCTGGGTGGAAGGGCGGGAAGAAGTGGAGGAAAGAGGGCATGAGAGGGGTGGCTTCCCTGGGCACTGGACCCAGGACCCTTGGCAGACGGTGGGTCTCCATTTGGGGCAGCGAGAGTAATTCAGCTGGTATCTATGTCTTATTTTAATTGGTGGAAACAAATGGTTTTGCTTTTACTGAGGTGCCTGTGGGCTCTCGGGGTGCTTACTGTGCATTAGAACACAGACAGAATCTCAAAGTGGATCCCACACTGAAAAAAAGAAAAACATTACCTTCTAATGGCAATTTTAGACATGAGAAGAGTGTCATTTGCTCTTCTGATAATCTTATAGCTTTAAAATTTACCTAATAATTTTAAGATATCTGAAAACTCAGAGTGACTTTGAGTCTCCTGGTTTTCATAATGAAAACTTTTTTCTGAGCAAGCGGAGGTAAAGCCAGTTAATAAAAGTCAGCTTTTTTGAATGGGCAGTAGGACATTTGTCTAAATGTTAAGTTTTCATAACTAGTTTCATGATCAAGAATTTCCTTAATTGTATTATTTTCTAATAATATGTGGTTGTGGTTTGTGCTATTAATCTACAATAAACCTCACTCTCACCAAAAAAGAAAAAAAAAAAAAAGAAATGCAGATAATGTCAGTGGATGACTGCTAGCTCTAATCACATTAGGAAAATTAAATCTTCAGTATGTTGACACACTTAGCCTGCTCTTGCTATCACGCAAGGAAAGGATGGTGCTGATAGAAAGGCTTCACGCTGTGCCCAGCCCAGACCATTGGATGTGGAGACTATGGGTGGGTTTTAATGTCAATTCAACCTCATTGTCCACATTTTAAGACATTTTCTTAACTGAATATATAAATTTAGGAGTATTTTACCGTTTCTGTAGTTTGTCCATTATATGTTTTATATTTATATATGTATCTTTTGGCTTAAATTTTTGTAATTTAAATTGTTTTCTTTAATATGTAATATTATCACATATTCAAAACTCAAAAGGTGCAAAAGAATGTCCCATTCCTGCCCCCCCAGGCTTTCCTTTTCTGTCCCCAGAGGCAACTAATGTTAGCCGATTCTTTTGTATCTCGCCAGAACTATCCTAGGCATTTACAAGTAAATATTTATAGTGATCTTCTATCCTTTTTAAATCCAGTCGTAGCACACAGCATACACTGTTGTGTACCTTGCTTTTATTTTAACAACACATCATAGAGATTCTTTATATTAGAACATAGAGAGCCCTCTCATGCTTTCTTTATGACTGCAAGGTATTCAGCAATAGTATAAATGTATTGTAAGGGAGGAAAAATAATTTTCCCTCTACTCTTCTGAGTTATATCGCAAAGTGGCATAGTTTGAAGTGGCATGTCCTGAACTTCTACAGTCATAAATAATCTGTAATAAAAGACAGATTAATAAGAGAAAAACAGAAATTTATTAACGTATACTTTATGTATACACGAGAGAGACTCGGGAAAATGAGTAACTCCCTGAGGTGGCTTAGAATTCAGGATTAAATACCATCTTAATAGGGAAAGAGGAGAGAGGGTGTAGGCCTCTTAGGGGAGGGTAAATAATTTTTTAGGAAAGATGAGTGAGTCCTTAGAAGAATAGATGGGAGGTATGACAGTTTGTGACAAAGTGTGTCCAGGTGTGGTGTGGACTTCTAGTTCCCTCTCCTGTGAAAAGAGTCCCTCTTCCCTGGTTGATGAAATTCCTCAGGAGGGGATTATGACAGTTGAGTTCCTTTTGGAGGATCTGTCTTTAGGCAGATAAAGGGGAGTTCAGAGAAAGCCTCTCTCTGCATTTGTTGTTTTCAAGTGCCTATAGCTCAAAATAATCAATATCCCAAAGTGGCATAGTTTGAAGTGGTATGTTCTGAACTTCCACAGTCATATTTCGAGGTGGCATATTCTGCTACTCTTCATTATCAGACTCTATTTAACCACGCCTTTAAAAATGAACATTTAATGTGGTATATATATACAATGGAATACTACTCAGCCATAAAAAAAGACAAAATCGTCCCATTTGCAACAACATGGATGGGTCTGGAGGGTACTATGTTAAGTGAAGTAAGCCAGAAGGAGAAAGACAAACACTGTATGATCTCACTCATATGTGGAATAGAAACCAACACATGGACAGAGAAAACTATATTGTGGTTACCAGGGGCAATGGGGGTGGGGGGTGGGCACAAGGGGTGAAGGGAGTCATATATATGGTGATGGATAAACAAAAATGTACAACCCAAAATTTCACAATGTTAAAAACTATTAAAACATCAATTAAAAAAAAATGAACATTTAAAATATTCCCAGTCTTGAGCAATTTCAAAAAGTGATGCAATGAATAACCTTGCCTATACGTTATTCTCAGATGTGCTGGTATATTTACATCACTTCTTGGGTGTAGAATTGTTAGAGCACATCCATTTTTAATGTTTAAGATATTTGTCAATCATTTAGTCATTTTATTGTGCAAGTATGGATACAGCCAGGGTTGGGGGGAGGAAGAATGCCCCAGAAGTCTGGGGACTCTGGTCTTTGAAAAGTCTCAAAGTGCTCTGACAATATGGTATATTCTATTCCCCTGATATATTTGGGGATGAGAGTTATGCCCTGCTCAGCCCTCATTGAGGCACTTTCTTTCACATTTCTGCTTTGAGACTAATGACAGCCTTTTGGGTTTTGTAGGAGCTGATGACCATTTTCCAACTATTGCACTGGAATGGAAGCCTGAAAGCCCTTCGTGAAACAAAGTGTTCCCGACAGGTGAGATTTTCCAATCAAGAATGGGTTTGTGTTGTATGGACTGAGCAGATGGCTCATCATCTTCCTAGGAGATTTCCTTTATTGGATTTTTCTCTGTTTAAATTTGGTACCATATTTACCGAGTAAGAGCAGAGGACACATGAAAAAAAATATATAACAGTCCAGTTGAGTCAAGGACTGACCAATATGCACACTAAGCAGAACATTGACTGGGCATGGGATTGGTTTAGATACCACCTGTACTCAATGCCAGAATGGAGGGATCATTAAGACAGACTTAGTTTCTAAGGCAAACGCTGAATCCACTCCATGCATCTGCCCTGCCTGCTGGAATTTGTGCCCTCTTCCACTCTCCGGTGCAGAAAGAAACTGAGAATGCATTGCTTCTGGACCTCCTCACTGAGAAGACATAAAGGTAGTTGTAGTGGGAGGATTTTTCTCAACCCCACCAAAAGTGCCTAACCGACAACAGGAATGATTATAAAGGTGGGCAAGCTGGCATTCAATCACCCCAATTTTTTGGCTTGGAAGTTTCTTCTTTATTTTTCAGAGACAGGGTCTCACTATTGCTTTGTTACCTATGAGAAGCACCCTCTCCCCGGTTTAATGGCAAAGGCCAACCCTCTCCTGTGTAGTTGATGGTTTTCACCTCCTACCCTCCAAGATTAATCCTTCCTTTACCCACCAAGAGACGTTGAAAGATGGTAGTTTATTTTCCAGTATTTGCTAACGGGGAGATTTGTATGAGGATCAAAGCCTCGACTAGTCAGCAAGATGAGGGTGGATGTTAGAGTCCTCCATGCTCTGCAGCCCCAGAGTTTTTAGTTGTTCTTTGCTTAGAAAGTCTGGCTTTCAAAATGTTGAAGATGGAAAAGAAATGAGTAGCTGACAATGGCTTTGGCTATTTTTTTTCTTTTCCTTTGATTTTATAAAAGGCCTTTGAAATATGCCGGGTTGGTTATAAACACTTTTCCATGATTGTTTTTAATTTGTTAGGGTCATAAATAAATACCATATGTTCTTTTTTTTTTTTTAATTTTTTTTTAATTTATTTATTTTTCCCCCAAAGCCCCAGTAGATAGTTGTATGTCATAGGTGCACATCCTTCTAGTTGCTGTATGTGGGACGCGGCCTCAGCATGGCCAGATCTGAACCCGGGCCGCCAGCAGCAGAGCACGCACACTTAACCGCTAAGCCACGGGGCTGGCCCCAATACCATTATGTCCTTGAAAATAAAAATAAGCAATGCATCCACTCCACACAATATTCTTAAAGTGTATCCACCAAACCTATACATGACGTTACAGTGTATTGGCAAATTTTGCACACAAGAATTGACAGGTAGTGACTAATTTTTAATTGTTTGCAGAAGTAAGAGACAATGTACCATGAAGGTACCATAACGATATCAAAAACAATAATCCCTACATTCTATAATACATTTTTAAAGTTCTTCCTGTAGTTTCTGTGAGCCATTTGGACTGTCATCTTGCTTATGTTAACAACACAGCAGTTAGGAAGTTGACTCTCTTGGTTTCTAAGTCTTGCCCTGAGGTTCTCTTGACTCAAAGCTTCCTGTTTTCTGCAATGGGTGTGATCAAACCCAGTTCTGCCCAAATCCTTCCATATAGTTGTTTCCCTCTCTCTGCCTTGCCAAAGGAGATAATGCTGGGCAGAAGAGTTCAATGAATAAATGAGGTAATGCTCATACCTCATTTAGTTATATATAACAATAGTTATAGGAATGCAAAATAGGAAGACCTATTTTCTAGTATCAGGGAAGAGGGAGAATCCCCCTCTGCCCTTTCCCTTAAGGTTCTTATGGCTGGCCAAATAATTAAAAGACAGGTTAGCAGAATAAAATAATACCAAGTTTAATAACATGTATACATGGGAGAAACCAGGGAAACTGAGTTTCTCAACAAAATGGCAGAGATTCTCATCTTAAATACTATCTTCAGCTAAAGACAAAGGAGGATGTTGGGGGGGTGGGGAAGGAGACAGCTATGGGAGATTACCAGAAAGCATAGCAATCAAGGGTATGTAGATTTAAGTCCTCTCCTTCTGTCCTGATAAGAGTTTCCAGAGATAAGGTCATCCTGCCCTCCCAAGTACACAGAGGGAGATACCTTTACAAATGTAAACATTTGTCTGACAACCCTTTTACAGGGCCACCTAGAGAATGTGGCCAGGAAGAGACAGAATTTTTGATAAGATGGGTTTGTGGTGCCTTTCCTATTGTAACATCTATTTTACATTATATTACAGCCATCATATGGTAGTGGCTCCTTCCTGGAACAGGTCTTCTATGTTAAATTCTTTAGGCAGTTTGGGGGAGGTCAAATGTCTGTCAGAGAAAATAATCAAGGTAAAGAGACATATTTCAGGGTGGCCAATTTTGATCTCCCACACTAGTGAGGTCAGAGCTCTGTTATATGAACATTACTGAGTCACTCCTGGTGGTACTGTTTTGACTCAACCTGGAGTGACCTTGGTTTGGTGTACCAGCTTAGCCCTTCATTTCCTTTAAGAGGTATGTTGTGGGATTTGGCTTCAGTTTGTGAACATCAGAGAGGTTTGGTTGTTGGTAAAACCCCCATGCATGTCAGGAGTGGTGAAGGCAAAGGAAGCAAGGTATTGAAAGGCCATGAGCACAGGTGCCTTTGTGGCTCTTTACTGACACTCTGGACTTTGTTTCTTGGCTCCCAGGAAGTCATCTCCTACTATTCCCAGTACTCCCTAGATGAAAAGATGCGCAGCCACATGGCCCTGGACTGGATCATGAAGGAGCGGGAGTCGCCAGGAATTCTCTCTCAAGAGCTACGAATGGCCCTGAGGGAGTTGGAGGAAGCCAGGAAAGCAGGACAAGAACTACGGTTTTACAAAGAAAAGAAAGAAATCCTGAGTTTAGCCCTGACTCAGATCTACAGTGATCCTGACACTTCCTCACCCAGTGATGATCAGCTGAGCCTCACCGCCCTCTGTGGCTATCACTAGCAAGGCCTGGTCCCAGCTGCCCCTGAGGGTGGCAGAGGCCGGACTCTAACATTAGGAAGCTCACTGAAGGAGGTTATGGGAGGCTTTAGCACCTATAGCTACTACCTGAAGGCTGTACTAATCTTCCCACCCCTTCTATTCACAGAATCTGAGAGTAGTAGAACCTTACAGGATCCAACATCCCACTCGATGCAATTTTCCCATCACACTCTCAATAGTTTCACCTCAGACTGAAAGGATGGAGATAGAATCATTTGAAAAATATTTTCCAGGCCTGGCTCCAACCTAAAGACACATGCCTTGCTAAATTATATATTTGTTTCAAAGAATGGGCCAGTGTACCATCTCCCAAAAGAACATCAGCTAGGACTGCAGAAAATAGCATGATGGTAATTTTTAAAAATACTTGAGATTAAATAAACAATATGGATTTTTTAAAAAAATATCCAAGAGTCAAAGTTTCTTCCTAAACTTTGTACACTTAGAGATAGTTTACACTCTACTAGGTATAATCCAAAACTACACTGGGAATTTTATCTGGACATCCCACTATCAAAGATCTTAAAGTGTTAATAGTATGAAAACACTAGACAAATTTAATGTGGCTTAAAATGCTATTGTAATAATAATTTTTTAAAATCTACACTCTTCCGTATGGGGATAAATGTCACCTAGAATAGTACTCTCACTCATATTCCTCAAGAAGAACTAATATCCAATTTTTAGGGTCCTACAATCAGTTATGTTCATTTTTAATTTGCAAATAGATAACTTGATTTGTTGTTATTTTTGCTACTGCAGTGATGTATCTATAATGGAGAAAGTTACTGGCATTTTAAAGTTTAAAACCCTTTGAAAAATTATTAGCATTTAATAGTGCTTGCATTTGATTCATTTCTCATGCATTAGAGAGAAGGAATCTTTAGCTGTCTTTCTTATTGTTCAAGAACATAAGCCACCAGTAGTTCAAATGTAGTGTCATTTCTAAGTTTAAATTACTGGAATCTTCCTTAAAGAAGGGATAAGACATTGCCATCTCTCTTTGAAAATGGCTTAGGTCAATCAATTGATTAGAAAACCAAAAGCAAATACAAACCAATTTTTAGCTGGTTCCTGTTCACTCAAATTTAAGAATGGCAGCAGTGTCGATTTTCAACTCTTATAGGTATTTCCATATCTACAACATTAAAAGTATTTTATTTTACATTTAGTCTAATAATTCAAATTAAAGAAACCAGTTTTTTCAATTTTAAATAAAGTTTCTTTTTTTTCTTGTTTAAGGCAAATGCAGACCAACTTTCCTGAAAGCTAAAACCATTATAATTACATTAAGGTTTACAAAAACATGGTAGTTTAGCCTCATATCTAAATAGGTACAAAGGAAATTGTCACTCCTTTAATCGCCATGAAAACTATTGTATACTGATCATATATTTTGGAATTAACCTTGATAATAAAAAAATTAACTTTATGCATCATATTTTTCACCCCAGGGGAAAATTTAGCTATATATCTTTCCTACTCTAATGTCTTGAAAAGATAAAACTATATAACATTAGATAAATTTTATTTAAAAATATTGTTTTAACAAAAATCACATTCCTCCCCATAATGAGGCTAAATCTCACCTAGAAGAAAACTTTTTTCCCTTATATTCCCAAAAAGGAATTCAAATTAATATTTGTAAAAGTTGAATAAATTTTAAAACTAAGAAAACTTAAGTAATTTTTTCATAAAGCCATTACCCTTTATTATTTTGAAAAAGCTCCAATTCCCTGTGTTGGGTGTGATTAAAGGTAGGTACACCTTTACTGCATTTGCAGCCTTTGACAATGAGCACTGCGAGCTGACACCATCTAATTAGATGCAGGAACAGGAATCAGCTGGGAAGATATTAAGTTTACTGTCTGCCCTACAATTAGAAAGCTGTACCTATTCTGTAAACTAAAAGCAGAGAGTCTCCCTCTGCCACTATCAGTTTTTCCCAGCTGGTCAGAACCACCCACTCTTCTTGGAATTGTATGGAAGCTACAGCAAAAGAAACAAAAGTCAGAATCTTTGCCACTGCTGGTCTCTTTGATGCTCGTTTATAGCAAATCAATTTCAGCTAGGACATAATGGCTGTCAGTACGTTACATAAACATCTATAATCCTGGCCCGGAGAAGAGCAGGGTAGAAGAGCCAAGTACGTTATTATTATTTTTCCTTTTCTATATCTTGTTCTCAATAACACACTGTGTTGAAGGGGACTAGAGCGGAGGAGTCTCTATTTAGATATATAGAACTCTGTGTCCTAATCTTTTGTGATTACAAACCCTTTGAGAATCTGATAAAAGTTATAGACGTTCTCCTAGGAAAACAGAATGAAGCATACATATTCAAAATAGTTTCAGAGGGTATGTGGGCCTCCCTAAAGTCCACGGATTGCTCTGTACAAGGACCCCCAGTTTAGAACTCTTAATTTGGGCACACACTTATGGTCTCAAACTTTTCAGCAGGGATCCAACCTAGTTCAGACATAGCCCCGTGTAGCCTGTTTCGAAGATAAATGTCATCATCCTTAAATACAGAATTTCACAGTATTTTGACAAGAGATAGTTTAATTTTCGCAAAATCCAAATACACCAGATTGTTATGAAAAAACAGCTTAAAGCAAACTAGTCACTAAACTTGTGTGAACGTATCAGAATATTACAGATTTAATAAAGTCATTGTTCCTTTAATGATCAGAATTCGGTTGTCCATTTGTTCAAAAGCTATAGTCCACTGACATGTTTGCTATTAAATTCATTCACCTATTTCTAGAAAAGAATGAAACTATAGATATTCCTGAAATGCTGTACCTGCATCAACTATGAATCTGATCAGCTAGGTCTCAGGAAAAAGAGAAAGAAAGCAGAAATGTTTAACACTTTCCTGTTTCTTTAGGAAAGCTTTTGAAGCCAGAGGCATTGTTGTAGTTGACTTTATCTCTGAAATGCTTTAGAGAATTCTGAGTTATATCATGCCATGCCCTTCTTTCTTGTCAAAAGACAAAAGAAGCCTGACTAAGAATATTTTCATTATCCTTGATTATGTTTACAAGTAAACACTATTCAAGATATTAGCTCTCATATATTGTTGATATTTTTTTGTTTTGCCTTGCAGAAAGGCAAATATAAGATTTCTTCTATGGTGTCCATTGTGTTAAAAAGCAAATATTAAGATTGCTTTTAGCCAGGGCTCCAGGAAAATGAAAATCATTTTCCCTCCCACAGTGTTTCTCAACTTTGGCTGCACATTAGAAATACCCAAGGAGCTTTAAAAAATCCTAAATATCCAGACTGTACCCAGACCAATGAAATCAGATTCTCTGGAGTGGGGCCCAGGTATCAGCATCTTTTAAAGCTCCCCAGGTAGTTCCAAAGTACAAGAAGGTTGAGAACCACTGCTCTACCCAGGAAACGCTGGCTCAGAGGCCTATGGCCTGACTAGCGGGAGCCATTACTCCACGTGGCCTTGGCCCCAAATTCAAATGTTGAACTCTTATGAGCTAAGTAGGAAGGAGCCAATCCTTTGGCTTGGGCGAGAGACTCGCATGGAGCCCAGAACTAAAGCAAGGCAAGCACACACACACCCTTATCTTAGCAGGGGAGCCAGATTCTGCCCCAGGGTCCAGGCTTTCTTTCTCAAATGTGATACACAAACTCTCTGTGCCAGAATCATCTGGGTTACTCATTTAAAAATCCAAGTTCCTGGGCCACACCCCAGACCTGCTGACCAAATTCCAGGAGAGGGTCTGGATAATTTACCACTGCACCAGGTGTTTCTGATCACACTTAAATTTGAGCTCTTTTGGCCTAAAGCTGCCTAACACATTCTTTACTAGGTGGCACAGCCCCAGCCCTTCTGACATAACCAGCCTCTTGGGGGAATGCACAGAAGGAATTCAGGAGAGAGGGGGAGGTTGCCTCTCTGCCCCTCCTGGAAGCTAGAGAGAAGCAGAGACGCAAAGAGATATGGCTGTCTTCTCTCTCCCAAAAGAGCAGCTCCCACTGTCTTATCACTTTGGCTCCAAAATTTGGAATTACCTTTAATCCCTTGGCTAGAAACCATGAAAATCTCTATTAGCTCATGGTTAAAGTCACTTCTTTAAAGCTAGCTAAACCCTGGTAGCACTGTCTTCCTTGGAGCAAAGTTGGTTGTGGGAAAGGCAAGCAGAAGTATCTTCCTGATCTGTTGACTCTCTAGTGATTCTCAAGTGAAAGTCCCAGATTGCTATCTTTTTATAGGCAGTTCCCAATCTTAGTAGCAATTATGTCCCACAAGTCCATTTGTAAGTCAGGCAGTTATTCAACCCTGAGGATGCATCTTTCTCTAGCAGCAAGGTCATAAATGGTGGCAAGCTCCCCAGACTGGCCTACATCAGCAATAGGGTGCCTAAAATATTGATCTATGGGACCTAATATGGCTCTGGGTTGTGAGTGGGCAGGTGAGGGTAGAACCACTGGCAGCTGTGGGTCTAGGGCATAGTATTGAAGACCTCTCTGAGGCATATTGCTTGGTCCCAAACTGGTTCTCCAGACAGTCTCTTTATTTTCTCTTTGTCCTCCCATAGATTAACTTTCCATTGCCCCACCCACTGCCATCACCTGTTGCTTCTTCTGATCATGGTTTCTTCTACTTGCTGAAGAAGAGGTGACATTTTTTCTGTCTTTTCACAAAACCTTTGAAAAAGTCTAAGAGTTGGTATCACTAGAAACAGGAACATTTGCATGACCTAAAAATGGCAGCTACTAAGCCTGTCTATAGAGCCTGTTTCACCAAGGCCTGTGGGGAAAGACGGGCACATGGAGCAGGACTGCGCTGGGCAGGCTGGCCGTGGAACCTGCCCCACTCACCCCCACCCCTAAGGTTTCCTGCTTCTTTGGGTGTTCTCCTTTGGCTCCACATGCTATCACCCCATCCCAATCTCAGCTGCCCCATAGCTAGCTGGTGATTCTGGGTAATCTGTCTCAAAACTATAAACTAGACTGATCAGTCTGTCCCCTTCAGGAATGTGAACTAAGGAACATGGAAGGAATTTGCCAGTTCAAGTTGGGAGCTGAAGTTGGAGAGTCAGGTTCCTGAGAGCTGTGGTCTGTGCAGCCTGAAGTGATGAGGGAGTAGCAACCATGAGTCAGCAACAGAAGCTGCTCGGCAGAAAGAGGAGAAGCTGGTTGGTGTAGAGAGCAGACGCAGAGAGAGGCAGAGACACCAGGAGAAGGTGGGAGCATGAGGCCCATGAGGGATGGTGAGGGCTGCTGGCCCAAGCGCCCTGCAATAAAGTCACTTATTCTTTTTCTCAGTGGATCATACACCTTGTCACCAAAGAAATCTCACCTTACTCATTTCAGGGCAAAATCACACTAGATTATTCTGGACTTTTCATCCTAAGAATAGACCAAAAAAGCTGACATGAGGAAGAACCTCTTCAACCGACAGAAATGCTGCTGAGAAAACTAGATTTAGCACTGGTGACACTCACTGCCCCTCCCACTCCAATGTGAGGTCTCACACGGGTCAGGAGTCCCTCGCCACCCCAAAATAAATTTATGGAGTATTACGTGCTAACCATCCTGTGCTTGCTCCCCTACACAGAATTCCTGTGTTCTCATGTTCCACAGCAGGTATGAACACAGAGGAAAATAGAATTCTATTTTTAAAACGGTAGAATTCATAGCCTCAAATAATTGTTGT